TTTGAGTTACAAATAACCGGATTTCTCGCTTTATCTTTTACTTCTTCTACAGAATATACCATATTCTTATCGATACAAATTAATGTCAACTAATAATAATAATTAACACGACTCGATATGGATTTATGTTAATTAATTATATATTTAAATTAAATATATTATTAATTATATATTATTAATATTTGTTAATTAAATAACCTTGACATTTACGAAGATTAATGAATTTTGATGAATTTCCATGAGCTTTACCGGATGTTTGTGAATTATTATGAATTTATATGGATTTATACGAATTCGTGTAAATTAATATGAATTAATATTCATTACTTTAAATTAATATTCGTAAATATGAAGAAATATTCGTTAATATAAATTAATATTCGTAAATATTAAGTAATATTCGTTAATACAAATTAATATTCGTAGATATGAATTAATATTCGTTAATATTAATTAATATTCGTCGATATGAATTAATATTCGTTAATACAAATTAATATTCGTAAATATGAATTAATATTCGTTAATATTAATTAATATTCGTCGATATGAATTAATATTCGTTAATATAAATTAATATCCGTTAACATAAATTAATATTCGTAAACATGAATTAATATTCGTCAACGTAAGTTAATGTTCATTAATATGGAATGACATTAATCAACACGAACGAATAAATACCACAGACACCGGTAAAAAAAGAAGTAAGACCGACGACCACGATTACATAGTTTGATCGTGGAAATATCGTCGTTTCGATGGTCGTGATTTGTTTCGATCACCGCGACATTCGCAGAATCGTACGAGCGCCTGAACTCCGACAGAAACAAAGTTGCCTCGCAACGTTGAACGAATACTCTATTTGCCCGGTATCGGATCTACCTTTTAACACCCTGTAGAACGAAAGCAAAGCGCTGGGGTAGAAGCCGCGCTGAGTGAAATATGAAGCAGGATATCGATCATCGAGAGACGGTCGAATCTATTTTCGTGGCGGACGTGTTTTCTCAGAGCGTGTTCGTTCGGTCGTTCGTTCGTTCGTTCCATCGGCTTCCGCTCGAATTTCGATCGCGCTTCTCAGAGATCGACCGGCCAACGGAAACAGGAGAAACGGTGGCGCGCGACGAGATCGTTCGAAAAAAGCCCGGATGCCCCTCGTTTCGGAAAACGAAACGCCCGAACTATTCTTGAACTGTTCGTACGACGTTGACTGCCGCTGCTCGCGCTGTCCCAGACTTCCTTCCCTTCCGTTTCAACTTCGTCAGCACCGCAAACTCTCTCGAACCTTTCCTTCCCTGTGTGCTCTCGCTATATGTATATTATACATAATGTGACAACGGTTGTGGATGCTTTTCGTAGAGGCGTGTGCGCGGCTCGATTTTTTCCGGCCGAGCCGAGCGTCCGAATTTTTTCGAGGTGCTCGATGTCGACGAATGTCTGCGTTTCACGATCGAATCTTATATTTTGATGGTGGCGATAATTTCTACGGCTTTAAATAAAACATATTCGTTATCGGTGACGGTAGAAACGACGTTTATTTGAGGAAAATGTGAACGAAAAATAAACTGGGAGATTTCCAAAAAAATACCGCTGTGTTCTTCGATCAAATCTTATGATAGTTCACTGATTACGATCATTTGACAAATAACATCGTTTTGAATTTTTTTATTTTAAATGAAACATATTCTGATGTGAACGAAAATCTTTATTTAATATTTTCGTGATTTTTTAATCTTTTATTTTTCATTATTTCAATATTTCTTTTCTTTTATTTGTCTTATGTATTAAATAAAAAAAATACAAATAATGTATTATATGTTTCACTATAATACGTACCATTAATTTAATAGGACGTATATTTATTAAAATATCAAATTTTACTCAAATATTAACAATACGTAAATAATATGTATTCTTAACATTTGTCAGTAAGTGTATACATTGCCACCTCAATTTAGTTAACAACATTTGTTAAAAATATCTTGAATACTCGAGCCGTTTGAATCGCTCAAGTGACTCGCATCTTTTTTGTTAACAGTTCGTCGATTTCGAGCAACCCGAAAAATTCGAGCACCCCACTCGGCACGAAAAATCGATCGATACTCGACACGAGGATCGAGTATTCGAATAAATCGAGTACTCGGATGCCTCTGTCTTTACGCCGATGTTGCTTGCATGCGTCCGGCTCGTTCGCCCGTTGTTTGATAACCGGAAGCCGGGATGAATGGAATGTCCTCGCATAATAAGCGAAATTCAACAATGGGCCCGGACCTCGTCACGGGGTATTTTAGTCAAACGACTTTTTTTACTGCGATCGACTTTCGTTGCAATTTCAATTGGGGGTTTGGTAAGGGACTTTCGAGGCTGTGTCCCCCGAAATTCGACGAATTGAAGGAGCTGATTTCAATGCTGTACGCTTTTGCAGGGGATTGGAAATTTCGATCATGTTTTTTTTTTGCAGAGTTATTTCGAGATTTATTCGATCGATTGACTGAAAACTTGCAGCTGCAGCATCGATGGTTTGTTGGCAGTAGAATTGCTCGTGTGTTTGACCTAAATACGAGTGAATACAAGAGTTTGTTGAAAAAGTGTAAAAAAGGTTTACTAAAATACCCCCTTAAGGGATGGGTGTCCTGTGAAATTGTAAGTCAAAATACGTTGAACAGATACGTCTCTTGCATCGAAAGTTGTCAAAAACTTATATATACATATTTTTGCTGTAGTTTCTGTCTTTTTATGTAGGACGATAAATAATTTTTTGGCAATTTTGATATTGAGATGATTTGCTGTGAAATGTACAAATTTTGTGGATATATAGGTCCGATGAAATTTAGCTGAGAATTTTAAAGTTAGTGGATCTTCCTACTTTGATGGCCAGAAAATAATATGATTTTATTCAATAAATGATTTCATTAAATGATATGTATTTTAAGGAAATTCAATAATATGAAAACAATGTGGTCATGTCGAAAGTCGTGATGATTCAACAAAAGCGATATTGATAAAAAATCATGTTCGCTTCGTTCCTATCCATAGATAGGAATTTATTTTTTGATAAATTAATAAATAATAATGATAATTTTATTCTTATTAGAAATAAGAATAAAATAGAACTAAAGTAACTAATTAAAATAATTGATAGAACCAAAAGAAATGAAAGATAATGAAATACAAGAACAAGGCAATACTTGAAAGATAAAATTTAAATTTTTGCAGACAAAGATACTGGTTCAGTCACTTGCAAAAATTGAATTTTATCTATTAAAGATACCTGCAAGGTTTGAAGAAAATTGGATGATCAAATTTGAAAATATCATAGAACTCAATCTGAAAATCATATTTAATGTTTCAGGTGTTTTTTACAGTATACGCGAGGAGCAGCGTTCCAGAGATTTCAGATGAAAACAAATAAAATGTTTAAAGTCATCAAAGTAGGGCGATTCCTTAAAAAACGAGACTTAGTATGCTCTCATAATGCATCAAATATTATTTTGACTTTCTAACCCCTTCATGGTATCGCGATTTAAACGAAATAATTTATCTGGTATCAATGTTTAACATTTCAATATTGCAATTAACTTGGAAATCTTTTTGATTAGTAGTCTATTTTACATTTTCAACGTGTCGTCGACGTTAGCGATTGGATCGAGTCGCATTGATAACACTGTTCAACATTTGACCTTTTAAAAATTGACGGACACTTGTTACAGATTTTTGTGAAAACAGATCAATTCTATATGAAAAGCAACTGCATAAATATTATTACTAAAAGGATATACTATTATTCATACAGATGTAACGAGCTACATCTTTATTCAATCAAGATAAAAGAAGATGTATGCTTCGAATTAGGGAACATATTTGATTCAATTCTCTCGCAACTGCAATAATGCAACAGTTGCAATATTTTTTAGATAGTAACATTCCTTTTACCCTATTTATGGAATCGTCATAGCTTCGCGTAAGCAAATGTTAATAGCGTTAAAAAAAACGATAACTAATAAAATCAAAGAACCTGAGTAAAAGTTCCCAATTTACAAAAATATCGAAATCTATTTCCATCGATCCGACAATCATTTAGATAACATGGTGCATATTATTGTTCAAAAACCATTACATACAATTCTTTGTAGCATTCCTTTATAACATAATAATAAATAATAATAATGAGTAATAATAAATAATAATAAATAATAATAAATAATAATAAATAATAATAAATAATAATAAATAATAATAAATAATAATAAATAATAATAAATAATAATAAATAATAATAGATAGTAACAATAAATAATAATAAATAATCCTTTATAACAGTTCCACGGCAAATCGAAAGTCCGTAAACCGCGCAGCCCCGTTGAACAGTGCAGAAAATCGCGATCAGGCGCAGCTCGATCCCGTCGCTACCCAATTACCATCTCGCAGGGGGTTAGAAGGATTACACAGCGCATCGGAAGCGATCGGCTTCTTACATTTCACGGACGATCGCGAGAACAGTGTCGTTGTTTGACGAACGAGCCGGGATGTGACGGCCAAGCGATTCGTCGAACGTTGAAGGCGCACCGCACACGAGACGCCCGTGTGGAGAGAAAGAGTCGGTCGCTATTCAACGTTCAACGAACTTGGCCGAAGGTAGTGGAAGGTAATAGAGGTGCACGCGGGCCAATGTATTAATCAAGACAGCATTGTGCTCGTCTCGGCGCGCGGTGTGCATGCCCGTGCGCCGGTGTTTGTGCAGAGTGGACGAGCACCATGCGGTCGTCGGGATAATTGAATATTTCTGATCGCGGCGCCGGTTCATCGCGCGGTCGAACTATTCCCGAGAAGCGTAAAATATCGTTCTTCTCGATTAAAACCGTTGCCCGATATCGGCGCGGCGCACACCGTTCTCTCCGCGATCAATCAATTATCCCGAGGTAGAAAGTTAACACGCGCCGAATCAGAGCAAACGCCCCGTCAATTAATCTGTCCTTTTCTATCCGCGGCCGCGATCGCAGACGGAAAATACCTGGTACTGCCATCCGGAGAGCTTCACATCCGCGACGTTGGACCCGAAGACGGATACAAGACCTACCAGTGCCGCACCAAGCATAGGCTCACCGGAGAAACCAGATTGTCAGCCACCAAGGGACGACTCGTCATTACCGGTAAGTCGGCTACACCAGCAAACCGTTCTCACACATTCATTTAACAACCACGATTCTGATTCGATCGATTCATTGCTAAGTGTTATTCTTCTTTTTTTTCTTCTTCTTCTTCTTCTTCTTCGTGATTAACCCGGGATTAATCCGCGATCGCTGTCAGATGCTCACACGTGCCCAGATCCGGAATCAGAATCGTGTTTCACAGCTTCGGACCTGGACGGAACATTGTAGCCGTTCATTTCGTCGACGAGGATCTACGGGGTGTTCCGCGCGAAACAGGCCAACCAAATGTCTCCTCAAATAGCGACGTTACGAAAAATATTGTACTCGATTGGTGTCAACAGACGAATACCTTGCGAAAAGTTGATCTCTCGAGATCATTTTCCTCGGAGTTGTCGAGGTCGTCGATGGGGATTTGCATACAAGTGCAGGTCTCCTTTGTTGCAGCTGACCTTATGAGTGAAATGGCAGCTGCACAATGGAACATAGCAAAATGCACTCGTATGCGGATCAACGACGACGACCTCGAAAATTCTGCGTCGCTTTCGTCTCTTGATAATGGTTCAATTCTTTGTATAATACTTTTTAAAACATCGCTATTAAAGGGGATACTTAGGTCGCCCGTTTTAAGCGGAACGCCCGGTACATCGACTTCTCATTAAAAGAAACATTCTTTGAATTCAGCAATCTTCGGATCCGCGCCGTCTCTGTCCGGGCCCGAAGCTGCCGGGGCAATTGATTCCCTGCGAGCCAGAGTGAACCGATTCGAGTTTAATTACCTTGACGATCAAGTTAAGTCCTGACTGAGTAGCTCGGAAAATCAATTGCCCACGGCCAAGTAACCACGTCGACGTACGTGTGTAATCACATTGTCCAACGAGCTCGATCTTCACTCGCCAGTGGTCGAAGTCTGCTACGGTTTTCGAAAAGAAAAGAGAAAGAGAAAGGAAAAAGAAAATTGGAAAAATCAGTGAAACGATTCGTCGTCGTTGCGACAGCAAAAATTCGGATCGAGCTCGTTTGGCGAACCTGAATGCTGGGACAGGGTACCCCTGCGGGCACGCGCCACCGCCCGCCCATAATTGTTCACTCTTGGCATGATCGGTATATATCGGACAATGAGCGTCTCGGTAGACGAGAGCCGTGTGAACACGGAAATCGAACGTACGAAGATAAGATTGCGCCGACGCGACGCGATCTCCGGGCTCTGTCCTTCGCTCTCGCGTGGTAAGTTGAACGTCGTCGACGTCGTCGTCGTCGTCGAGACGGCCGAGGATGTTCGGATGCGTCCGCAGACGCTCTTCGAGCAGGTGTGCGACAGCTCCACGCACCTGCCGAGTTTTAATGACGCGTCGTCTCGCGAGTTCTCTCGAGATCTCGGCTAGATCTAATTGCGAGAGTCGGCCGGAATTCCACGTCGGAACCGTTCGCGATTCCGCAATTCCGTTCGCGACTAGGCTGCCGTTTTCTATGGACGAGCGGGGAGAGTGAAAGGGTTACGGTAGCTAAACGATCCGAACCGTTGGATATCGGTTTTGGACGAACGCTGTTGGTAGACTGCGGATTTTTATGCATTTTTGTGCACTTTTATGCACAATAATTGACACAATTTGGAAATGATACACTGGTCTCTATTTTTACTATTGGAATAGTTTTCAGTTAGTGTTTGGTTTTTACAAATTGTATGTTATTTGGAAATTTTAGATTTTTTGGCATTTATGAGAAGTTTAGGTTGAAGACCAACCTGTGAAGACGTCAGATCAAATTAAACGTATTGTTACACTGCTTTCGGCTTATCAGAGCAGACAATTTTTATTTTGCACAATGATTCGCAGTCTAGTGATCATTAATTAAAAAATATCATCGCGAATCATCATTAATTTTTGTAATTACTGTTGTAAATAGACTGTGGGCTTTATGCATTTATGATTCAAATTAATAAATCAAATACGAAACTGCAAAGATCTTAGATGATCTTGAACGTATTGTTGCACCGTTTTCGACTTATTAGAGTGGTTAAAAGTGGAAAAACATTTTTAATTAATTTCTGTCCCTTACAATTAGGTTAAACGATTTTTATTTTGCACAATGTTCCGTAATCTAGTGATTGAGGACGAAGAAAATTATATAAATGTTATACGTATGCATTTATCATAAAAATTGATAGACTGAATAGAAAAAAATTAGCACGTTACTTAAAATTATTTAGATCGAATACAAAACAGTTAGAAAGTTACATACAATTAATTAGAACGAATACGAAACAATTAGGACGTTACGTAAAATTAATCAGATCGAATACAAAAGAATTAGAAAGTTACATAAAATTAATTGGATCGAATACAAAAGAATTAGAAAGTTACATAAAATAATTGGATCGAATACAAAACAATTAGGACATTACATAAAATTAATTAGATCGAATACAAAACAATAAGAACGTTACATAATAAACATATTATTACACTGTTTTCGATTCAATAAAGGAGTCAAAGAGCTAGTATATTTAATAATAAAATAAAAGAAATATATTTTTACCGAATTTCTGTTTCTTGCGATTGGGTCAGGCGATTTTTATTTAGCGTAAAGATTCGCAGTCTACCTGTCAGATATTTCTGGTTCTCCGAAATTGTTCCAAGAACCGAAACCGATATCGTAACTCTGTTCAACCCTTTAATGAGGACGGCAGTGGGTCCGAACAGGGGGCCCACGTGCTTACGGAAACACGGACCCCGCAGTCACCGAGCATTCGTTGTGAAACAGAACCCGTGGGAAGCGTACGGCCAAAGTTTCCTTCGATGGACAACATAAACGGACTTTCGGCGGAGTCGAAAGCCAATTTGCCACTTCTCTGCCCCGCCCAAGGATACCCGGTACCGGTCCATAGGTACGATATCTCTAATCGCTGGACTGCGGATCTGTATGCAAAATAGGAAAGCTTTTTAAATGAAATTTTAAAGAGCTTGCGACAAATGGAAATTGTCTGTTTGCCCCTCCAACAATTTTCGCAAGTTGAAAGGAATGACACTAGGTTTAGCACTAGAAGGGTTTTAATTTACTTGATCAAAATAACATAAATATGTTTATGCAGATTTTTAGCAATGAAAATAACGAAAATATATTTATACGGATTTTTAGCAATAAAGATAAAAATATGTGGTATTTATTCAGGTTTTTAGCAATAGAAATAAAAATATATAGTATTTATTCAGATTTTCAGTAATAAAAATAATAATATATACTATTTACACAGATTTTTAGCAATAGAAATAAAAATATATAGTATTTATTCAGATTTTCAGTAATAAAAATAATAATATATACTATTTACACAGATTTTTAGCAATAGAAATAAAAATATATAGTATTTATTCAGATTTTCAGTAATAAAAATAATAATATATACTATTTACACAGATTTTTAGCAATAGAAATAAAAATATATAGTATTTATTCAGATTTTCAGTAATAAAAATAAAAATATATAATATTTACTCAGATTTTTAGCAACAAAAATAATAATATATAGTATTTACTCAGATTTTTAGTAATAAAAACAAAATTATGTAGTATTCACTCAGATTTTTAGCAATAGAAATAAAAATATATACTATTTACTCAGATTTTTAGCAATAGAAATAAAAATATATAGTATTCACACAGATCTTCAGCAATAAAAATAGCAAAAATATAATTATGCAGACTTATGGCAACAGAAATAACAAAAACATGACCATACAGATTTTTAGAAATGAAAATTACAAAAATATAGCATTTATTCAGATTTCCAGCAATAAGAATAACAAAAACATATTTGTGCAGATTTTTAGCAATTTACTAAAAAAACGTGTTTGCAATCTGAATGATCGTAAATTAAAAAATATCGAACACCGTGAGTCTAGTGTTAAATTCTCTGGTTCTTTCACTGTTTTATATTTCACCCCGCCATTTTTCTCGTGAATGCATGAAATCCGCAGTCTGCTAATCACTGGCAAGTGGAATGAACGAATCGGAACGCACGATCGGTGAGCAGAGTGGCCTAGAGCTGCGTGGGTGGCTGCGAGATGAGATCTGTTGGCTGATGGGGAGGAGAGAGGGTTTTCAATGAGTCTGCGAGACGGAGAACTCGGTAAAGTTTCCGATCCCACCGGCGCGGTCAGAAAATGATTCAGTGGGCTGAGACATCTGGGAGTTGTGGGCTGCGGAATCGATAAATTTAGATCTGGACGACGTAGCAGATTATTTATGCTTATGGACAATGCAATGAAGTATCCATTGTCGGGGGTTTCGAGGAGCGGTTTGTGGTTATTCCTTGTGTGGGCAACTGGATATCTAGTTTGCACGTGGCTTTGGTGATCGTTTTACGTGGATCTCCGTGGAAACGTTGAAAAATTCATCCGGACTGTATTTTTAACACAACGATAATAATCGTAGTCGACGTTTGAAATTTCAATTATATAAATCTAAATTGCAATAAATATTTAAATATATATATAAATATTATATTTAATGCAATATAATAATATAATAATAATTAATAATAATATAATAATATATTTAATATAAGAATAAAGAATAGAATAAAAGAAAAAATAAGGAAAATAAAGAATAAATAATACATAAGAGAGACAAAGGTTTTTATTCTGATAATTATTTATTTATACGTCACATAGACCTCTTTACGAATTTTTTCAGATTAAAAGCTAACTTTATCTCCATTAAAAAGATTATAAATTATCATATTCACGCTTCCTACGCCAATGATCGATTTAAACGAAACAGAAGTCTTCGTTGATTCTCAAAGTAGAAACAATCGTTTTCGATTGTAAAATCATGGAAGAGTTAAATTTATAAAAAGTTCTCGCAATTTCTCTCGTATCAACAATTCATTGAAAAATTGTTCTTTTATATTTCACGTACGGAGATTCTGCATACGATGCTTAGAGTACCAAAAAATACCAAAGAAAGATACTGCAGCATTGTTTTTTTTCAGATTTAACGAC